TGTTGTTTATATTATTAATACTTAATTAATAATTAATACTAAATTAATGTTAATTTACATATCATTAATAATATTAAAATTAACATGGGTTGTAAATGAACATAAACTAACAAATTAATGTTATTATTGTTGTTGTTGTTAATTAAGGCAGATGATGGGGTGGAAAAATGATAAGAGTGAAAGTCAAAAGACGGATTTATGTTGTAATTCAGACAATTACCACAGGTATATCATTTCATATCTATGAGCCTCAGTTTCTTCATTTTAAACCTGGGCATGATAACACTAACATTACTCCCTCTCCAGTACTGTTATTAGGTTAAGCACTTTATAGTTTGTAAAGCTCTGTATAAATGGTAGGTATTGTTACTATGAATCATGCTTGAGTTTTGTTCTTTCATTTTTTCGGGTTCAATGTGCTGAATGACACCCATTGTCTCTTTCTCTCTTCATCTTGCTTATATCTGCCATTTTCCCTTCTGAGAGAGTATTTCATTAAGCTATTATGTGGATTTTTTTTCAGCTGAGCTAAAATATGAAGGTACTCCATGAGTCCCATTTCAAAGCATTTGGTAAAACGATGCTGCTGGCTCACCTCCACCTCTTCCTAATTGCCTTCACCATGCTCAAAGCTCTAATTTATGGTTTGTTTGTTTTTTTCACTTCAGCTAAGCAAAATTGGTCAAATCGTGAACACTCTCCTCCTTCCTTCATCTCAGAACCATCACGTTTGTCACCCTATCCCCCTCCTAATAAGCTGGGATCAGAGGAGTTAGAACTGGAAGGAACCTTTTAGATAATCTAGTCCAACATCATTATAAAGATGGGGAAACTGGGGCTCAGGGACATCTGGCACTCTTTGAATATATTAGGGACTTCATAAATGCTTCTTGAACTTGATTGAACTGAATAAAATGACTTCAGGTCACCCTGTTGATTAGTGTCAGAGCTGAGACTCAAACCTAGGTCTTCTTCCTCTCAGTCTAAAACTTGTTGTTTTTAATTATTTTTATTGCTTTTCCCCATCACCTTCATTTCTAAATATATTTCTTCCAACTCCACTATCCAGAAAACCACTCTTTGTAACAAATAAAGAGAAGAGGGAGAACAAGTTCAGCAAAACTAATCAAGACATCAACTGACTGCAGCAAGTTACTCAAAGTTCCATATCTATAGTTCCCCCATTTCTCAAAGAAGCAAGGTACATACATTGTCTCATCTCTTCTGTAGCAATAGGTTGACCTTTTTACCCTTAGTTCAGTTGCTTTTTATTATTGTTCTTTCCATTTATATTGTTATAGGCATTGTCTACATTGTTTTCTTGGTTCTGCTTACTTTATTCTGTATCAATCCTTATGAATTGTCCCATTCTTCTCTGAATTCTTCATGTGTTTCATTTCTTACAGCACCATACTGTTCCTTTACATTCATGTACTACAATTTGTTCAGCAATTTCCCACTCCCTGGCATCTGCTTTGTTCATGACTTTGGCTAAGGGCATTTATAAGTTATATTTAAGTCCTGATTGATGATCAATTATTTAAGCTTATAATAAAAGGAAGCTACCAAACAAAGCTTTATTTTCTTAATGACATTAGCAAGTTTTATCAGTTACTTACCGAACTTGGAGAACACACAGATCATTAGTAGACTTTTACCAGATTTGGAGGACACAAATACATCATTACCAAACTATACTCAAAAGACAATAAACATTAAGCACTTACTATATGCCAGGCATTGTGCTAAGTGATGAGGATACAAATACAAAGACAGTCCCTGCCTTTAAGGAACTTACAATCTAGAACAGGAAGACATATCATGAAAAAAAAGCTGAAAAGGTGGGGAGAAGTACCAGATCATGACACATGGTGAAGTCCATCAGAGAAGTCCCAAAGTAATGCAGCCAGCTGAGAAATGAGGAGGCGTCTGAGCTAGTCTCTCTCCTTAAATGTTGATTTGGAATTCATGGCCCCATCCTCTGATCCAAGAAGCAGAGCGGAGTAATTGAGGAGAGTCCCAAGATAAATGAGATCCTACAGGATGATCAATAATGATCTTCTTGGGGAATGAGGGAGAAGCCAGTCAGAGAAGTCCCAAAGAAGAGTAGCCAGATGACAAATGTGAAGAGTACTTATCTACTATAGAAAATCAACTTACATCCCCAATTGACAAATGGTCAAAGGATACAAACAACTTTCAGATGAAAAAATCAAAACTATCCATAGTCATATGAAAAAATGCACTAAATCACTATTGATTTGAGAAATACAAATTAAAACAATTCTGAGGTACTAGGTCATACCTATCAGGTTGGCTAATATGATAGAAAAGGAAAATTATAAATGTTGGAGGAATTATGGGAAAATTGGTACACTAATATACTGTTGGCGGAATTGTGAAACTCATCCAACCATTCTGGAGAACAATTTGGAACAATTTCTGAAAGGCTATAAAACCGTACATACCCTCTGACCTAGCAATACCACTACTAGGTCTATGTCCTAAAGAGATTAAAAAAGGGTAGGGAAGGACCCACATGTACAAAAATATTTACAGCAGCTCCTTTTGTGGTGGCAAAGAAGTGGAAATTGAGGGGATGCCCATCAATTGGGGAATAGTTGAATAAGTTATGGTATATGAGTGTAATGGAACACTATTGTGCTAAAAGAAATGATGAATAGGCAGATTTCAGAAAAACCTGGAAAGACTTGTATGAACTGATATAAAGTGAAGTGAGCAGAACCAGAAAAACATCATACACAGTAACAGCAACATTGTATGATTATCAACTATGAATGACTTAACTATTCTTAGCAATACAGTGATCCAAGACAATTGCAAAGGATTCATGAGGAAAAATGCTATCCACCTCCAGGGGAAAAATTGATTGAGTCTGAATGCAGATCAAAGCATGTTATTTTCCCTTTATTTTTTGTGTGTTTTTTTTCCTTTTGTTCTGTTTCTTCTTTCACAACTTGAATAATATGGAAATTTGTTTTACATGATTGCACATATATAACATATCAAATTGCTTACCATCTTAGAAAGAAGGGAGGTGAAGGAGGGAGGAAGAAAATTGTGACCTCAAAATTTTTTTAATTTAAAATTTGTCTTTACATGTAATTGGAAAAAATAAAATACTATTAAAAAAAAGAAAATCAACTTACATAACAGCTACTTAATCACAAAATGGAGGCTTAAAAAAACAGACATGCTAATGCTAAATTAATATCCTCATTCTCACTATCCACGGTATTCCAGGAGTGGACTTAGATTGGTCTTAGAATGAAAAGATCTGAATTGGAATCTTGGCTCCACCATTTGCTAGCTGTGTGCCCTTGAAGGAGGCTCTTGACTTCTCTGTTTTCCATTTTCTCATCTGTAAAAAAAAGCAACTATGTACCTCAAGGGTTGTAAAGATAGAATGAGGTAAAGTCTCTGAAGGTGTCTTATAAAGAACTCTCTGTGTGGACATTCCATCAATGTGGATCAGTAACTTTCCTCTAACTTCTAGTCTTTGAGATTTGCCTAGGGCACCAAAAGCTGAAATATCTTGCCAAAGGTCATGCAGCTAGTATGTGTCATATTCGAGATTGAACTCAGGTGTTCTGGACTCCATGGCCACCCTTCTATCCACTTAACCATACACTAGTACATGATGCTTCTCGGTAGATAAACAGAATTACTTACTTTGGTATTCTACCCATTGCCTCACTTCATTTTCCCTTGCGCCTACTTTTCTCCCATTGGGGTCATGCATCTTGCCTTCTCCTTTTTCTGATACACATCTATTGTGTAACCCATCCTCTCAGAACTGAATTCTTTGCTTCCTAAGAGATGAGTATATCTGGTCATCAAAGATGGCTTAAGGCCCTCCCTGCCCTGCTTTCTCAGAAAACAAGTCCATAATTGCTTCCTGAAAAGTATACTCTTCCATTTAGTGTGGATTTTTTACTTAAAGGAGTGGCTTTAACATGAGAATTTTGGATATAGGTAGAAGGAATGGATAGTTCCAGAGGATATGAGTGAGGGAGGATTGTGGGCAGGTGAGACCTTGATCATGATAAAGAATGTTGTAGGAAATCACTCCTTCTGCTTACAGACAGGGCTTGTCCTAAATATCTCTCTTCTTCTTCACCCTTTCTCCTTTTGGGGACTCATGCAATGAGCCGCTTTTATAAAGCACCACTCCCCTGCTTCACACACACACACACACACACACACACACACACACACACACACACAC